ATGTTAATCTCTTCAGATGTGTGTGTTTGTGTGTGTGTGTGTGTGTGTGTGTGTTCTGGTTTACTTAGTTCTCTTACACAGTGTGTTCAGGAGGCTACTTTTCCCTGCGTTGGTGGCTCCTGCGATGACCACGTGGACTCCGCTGCGTAGCCGCTCGCCCCTCCTCTCATCCTTTAGGTGTCGCTCAATCTCCGCTTGCAGATCACACACCGATCTGTCCACTGTGTGAGAGGGAGATAAAGTCAGAGGAAGGAACAGGACGTGATGAAGGTTTCACGTTCAACTTCACTTTCATGGCCTTGAAAAAGGAATTTCTGTCCTTTGAAGGAAAAAGGCCTGTCCTCCGGTGTCTGACACCCTTCGTCTGGATGAAAAATGGGTCACGGACCTGTCTCTTTCCGCATGTGACCAAAGCGGAAAAATGCTTTTGACAATACAATGAATCAACAACACCTCATTTTCCTTACGGTGAAAATGTCAAACTTCGTGAGGATCTTGAATCTCATCCAACTTGGGATGACTTGAAATAAGACGTAAGAAAACTTCAGATAAAGCATAAAACATGTCATTTGCTGTATGACTGCAGGTGGCCAATTAAAGTGTTTATGCCAGGGTTTTCTATTTTTGGAAACTAGTCTATTATTATTTTCCACTCTGAGGCGTGAGCCCACTTTTCGTGCCACCAAAACAAACAATAGTTCCCAGGCTTTATTGTGTCGAAACTTCACAACATCTGAGGCCTCTGAAGAGCTCTGCCAGTGCCAGACAGCAGGCGACAGACTCAGGGGAGACATCCCTCACACACACTCACACACTCACACACTCCCACACACACACACACACACACAGCCTCCCATGCACTGTGAGCATGGGAAACCTGGGCACAGAGAGAACAGTTGGACTGTATGGTACTGCTGACAGCACTATTCCTGTGAGCGACATGGCAGGCAGGCTTTGAAGGCAAGACGAATGCCTCTACTGTCCCCCGGCCTTCTCCCCACACTTCCTAAAGGAAACTGTCTTTTGAGCAGTTTGATGTCTATGGTTTCTCCCTACTGTGCAGCAAACGCACATGATGGCCAGTTGAAGATCCAAACAGGAAAAGCCAGCCGAACTCCTCTCTCCTCAGAGAGAAACAGAGCCCTCTGACCCTTCCTCACCTCCCTCTGAAAGCCCAAGGGATGACTGTTCTGTTATTTTTCTCCGGCACAGAGAACAAAATGTATACGTACCATGATTTAAGACCCCATCCTCAATGAGCTCATCCTCGCTGAAGTCTATGAAGGCTTCAACGTGAGCCAGACACTGTGCGACACAGAGAGGAGAGAAAGGAAAAAAAAAAAAGTGTGTGAAATACAGACATCTGGGAAACCCCCTGAACACATCTAAATTCATGGTTGGAAAATTAAACAAAGTATTTTCTATTATTACTGTTAAGTTTATTTAATTGTATTATTAACTAATTTCCCCCTGGGATTATTAAAGTATTTCTGATTCTGATTCTGATTTATTTGCATGTTGAAATGTTGTAAGGTGAGCAGCCAGCACAGAAAAACAATACGATGATGGTGAAACCTGTGTACAGTATTATATATTTATCCAAAGGAAAAATAAAGTGTCTTAACAATTCTTACATCCCTAAACAAACAATATAACTATATAAACACTACTGATTACACCCTCACCTTTAGTCAGAAGATCTTAAAAAATGGTCTTCACATTATACACTTGTTTTAAAATGTTTTCAGCAACATTTCTGATTTGCCTAATGGGATTAAGGAGGTTTCATTTTAAGTAATATACCTATTTTGATTTAGGGCAACATCTAACATTTATTTCAATTGTGAATTAATCTGTTGATTTATTTTTAGATTAATTGCTAAATTACTTTGTCTTTAAGAAAAATGCCAACAAACAGACCAAAATGCAAAGATTTTCAGTTTACAATGATCCACACATTTAATGTGGGATTAAAAACAACGATTTCTCAATTCTCACAATTTTTGATTTTGATTTTTGGCAGATCAACTAATTAATTAATAACTAAATGTAAAAAAAAAAATCATTTCATTTTGCATTCTGTTGTGATCATCTCCACAGATTATAACATGTCAGGCTTTAATTTTTAACAGTGTTTTTTAGTATACAAACAGTGTATTTATAAAAACATTAGACACTAACATTTACAATTCAAATAGCTTCCTCTAGTCTTCCACTCGCCAATCACAACCATTTATATAATACTGGGCAATTTGATATTAAGACTGTGCAAAGAAGCGCAATGTAGAACAGTTTCTGTTGAATTTGCTATCGCGTCTGTATTAAACAAACTAGATTTTCTCTAAAAGAAGAACAAACAACTGCACTTAAAGCTTGTGCTGATAAGAAATATGTGTTTGACATACTTCCGACAGGATTTGGGTTAATTTAATTTACCAACTACAATACATCACACCTTCCATTGGGACGGCAGTAGCTCAGTCTGAAGGGACTTGGCTTGGGAACCGGCCACCTCGGAGTGCACCTCCTGTGCACTGCCGAGGTGGCCTTGAGCAAGGCAACCTAACCCCAAGAAACTGCTCATGGGGCATGCTAAACGTGGCAGCCATCACTCCACCATCCTCTCTCCTGTTTGCATGACCACAAATGCATGAAGTTGCTATTTCAGCCTGTGTGTGTGTGTGTGTGGTGTGTGTGTGTTATATAAAAATAAAAAATAAAAGAGTGAAAAAAAATTCCCCAATAGGGGATTAATAAAGTACATATCTTATCTTATCTTATCTTATTGCTCTGACTGGTTGTAGGTCTATCCAGTTGTGTCCAGAGGCATTGTGGTCCGCACCCATCTATAATGCCCCTTGGAAACAAACTGAGGAGCAATGCCAGGCTATTTGAATCTAGAAAACCGGGGAAATTTTCAGTATTTCCAACACGGGACTGATCACTATCTTGATTGACATTTCGAAACATAAACACAATAGTAGTATAGCTGCACAAAAACAGGAAGCGTCAGATTCCTATACTTTAATCCATTCACAAAAGTGGGAAGCCAATAGTTAAAAAAACTGCATTGTTTAGGGTTAGGGTGTCAAATGATAGTTGACCCCTAACAACATACAGATGGTATACTTCTGATTAACTGGATTCCCAGAAATCTTGTTTCAGAATAATGACACATCTGAACTGCTTCTAGGAACCGTCTTAAGGAAGCATCTGTCAAGCAGCTTAACAGAGTTTCTCAAGGGAGATCACCTGGACCGGTTGGTCAGGTCTGGTGCCAAAGTGTTGAAAGATAATTGGTAATTTCACAGTAAAGGAAGGTTTGGCTTACTTCCATGAAGAAGTGTTCATCTGCGGTCAGTGACCTGCTGCTCTGAACTGCCACAACAAGATGTAAAAGGAAAACTCAACCTCTGACAGGATTAGATGTAAAAAAGACATAAGAACACAAACATGCCACCATATCAGGGTAATAAGCATGAATAGGCTTATCTGTAAGTCTTATTAATGAATGTAAAACTGCAATAGTGGAGAAAGTTAGCACAAAATACAGAACACACAGAAAAGTTCATGTTCAACTGCATAAAGTTTTAAACTTTTTGGACAGTTGGCTCAAGTATCAACTGGTGCAGGACAACCAAGTGAAGAGGATGAAGTCATGAATCACTCGTTCAGTTCAGTTCAAGGATTTGTCGACAATGTAGTTTTCCTGAACTTAATGGTTAAATCAACATTCAACTGTACTTCCTTACAAGATGTCCTGATAGCCAAATGGTTAAGGCAAAACTGCGTCCTTTGTTGGATGTCATCTCTCTCCTTATCTTTCTCTCCTTTTTCCTGTCTCGCTTTGTGCTGCCAGACGTCAAATTAAACCAAAAAAGACCAAAAAGAAATCTTTCAATTCAGCAAGTCAGTATGTGCGTTCCATTCTTCCTCCCCTCTAATTTATCTTAACTTGACTTAACTTCCTGACCGTCATTCATATATACAGTATACAGTACAGGACACTGTATAGATAAGAAGAACAATACTGCTGCACATAATACATCAATGTCATTATTGTGTGCCTGTCTTACGTGACAGACATACAGCTGCTGTAAAACAATATAAAGCCAGATGTTCTGAGATGGAAAAACACATTAAATCCACGTGAGATAAGATGGAACAACAGCATAGTGCATAAGATGGTCTCCTGTTTTTAGAAAGTCGAGATTCAAAAATAGAGATTTTCCCTTGAAGGCTTATTAGCAGCTTTCCTCAGGAAAATCCAAATTAACAGCACATGCACAATGTCTCTCAGCACCAGTGACTCAACGACAAGAACACTTGTTTGTATTCGTGACGCTTTTCAAAACAGAGTCTCAGTGTGGACCAGAGGAAATGTTCCCTTCAGCCACTTTAGTCATCACATAATAGTAATAACAACAACGGCATATGTCTTAACAAATTAAGACATTTCTTAATCCTTCAGTATAACTGTACTCTTATCTGCTGGGAAATATACTATTTCTAAAGTTCACTGGAAGGGCTCTACGATTATATTATATTATATTAGCAATAAAATCAATTACAACCCAATGTTATTCAAATTGTTATGCTGATTACAAAGTACAAATTTGTATTTTAATCTTTTTTGTTAATTTTGATTATATTTTTTACAAATAAATATCATCAATGTACCTGCAAAATAATTTAGCAATGTGTCATCTTGACTCCAGGGTGAAAAAATTAAATTATTCAATTATTCCATTTCATTTGCAGTCTTCTTTATTGCATAACTTATTTGATAAACTTGAGGTTTTATTTTAAACCTGATTACAATGTAAGACAAATTGCATGTGCCATACAAACTAGTATTTTGATTCGCAGTATTGAACAGAGGAACATGTCCTGCACGTACTACAGCAACATGAAAACAGGAAGCCTCATATTCCCATAAGTTAATCCATCAACGGTGTGTTACGAAAGCAGCTGTAGAGATATTAAAAAAAAGAAGAAAGCATTGTTCAGGTGTGAAACAACTGAGGCCTGACCTACAACACAGTACAGACAGGTTCTTTCCAAAACACTGTTTTCGGAGAAATGTCAGACATGAACATGGACAAAGTCTCTCTGGGGAGCGAGGAGCTCGGCTTGTTTCTGCTGTCAAACTAACTCAGATTTAGATACAACATTGTTGATCACTTTCTAAAGGCTCCCCATTCACCTGTCACTTCTGTTACGTGTCATTCCGTGTCCTGTTATTGTTTTGCTTGTGTGTGTCTGCTCTGTGTCTTTGTGTTCTAGGTGCAGCTCAGTGATCACTGATGGAGGGCACCTGTTTGAAGCTGTGGGTGAGTATATTTCAGTGACTCAGACCTGAGTCCCTGACACAAGACCCAGCTTAGGTTTGGGCAATATGGTCTAAAAGTAAAATTAAACGTAAAGTTGAATTGATCGATTTAATCAATTTATTGCCCAGCTCTATAGTGTCAACTGTTACTGTTTTATCTACACTATATGTGCATTATGATGTGTTGTGTCAGTGTAATGTGATGAGCATGTGCATACTGTCACACATAAACTGTGTGGACCCCAGGAAGAAAAGTAACTGTTAATGTAGAAGCTACTGGGGGTCTTAACAAACAAACAAACCCAGCTTTTTGTTTGTTCTCTTAATTTAACCTTTTTGTAAATAAATTATATTCTTTTGTATCTAACTGGTATGGTGTCCCTTCTTATGTTGCGGCTTTGAAACTGGTTGTTATATAATGGGGGCTCGTCCAAAGCTCAGTTCGGACTAGGTGAGTTAATTACCCGTTTTAGTCTGTAGCTCCAGTCCTGATAAAGGCGTCCCAGTTCTCCTGACATCTGCCTGAGAGCCTGCCTCCTCTGGGCCTCTGTCTCAGCATGGATCAGATCCCCGAGCCCCTCCACCTTCAACAAGCATTATTCATTCATTATTATCAACAGTTATTATTGCAATTGCCATTTCAAACAAAATATGCACCCAGGTTTATGTAATCGGAGTGAGGGGCTAAAATACAATTGTATTGTACATTGAAATGTACATTGTTCATTTCCAGAATATTTGGTCAATTTAATAAATTTCCAGCGGTTTCCATGACTGGAAAACTAGTAGTTGTGGAACTATAAAAACACATTTGCATGATAAATACTCAGTTTACTGTATACTGATAATATTTATTCTGAATCACATTGTACTGTAAAGAGAATATACAGAGCAGTCCCTTATTAATGTTCAAGGCGGCATACTTGGCTGCTTTTTGAAAAAATCACCACCTACAGAAACCCAGTAGCTTTATTTATTCATAAATATTGGACAGCCCAATGAAAGAAGCGTTCAATGGGCAAAATATGTAAAAGGAGAAATTTTCACTGTTGACATTTCATGAACTTGAAATCCCTGTTCATTTCTGACCTTGTTTAATCCACATTTACCCTCTCGATACCCAAACATGCACAGATCTGTCTTTACATGCTCTTCTTGACCCACCTCTGTTAAACCCAGTTTCCCTGCTTGAAAGGCTCTCCGCGTGAACTCTCCAGCTTCTGCAGGCCTCATGCCAGCCACGCTTCCTGACAAACAAAAACACACACACAGCATAACAAACATGAAGAAATGTATGAGGCAAGCAGTGGGCATGCATCATGCACACAACAAACAGATCAAACGCAAGGTCAATATGTCACATGTCACTCAGGGTTCACTTGGAGTGAAAACAGGCACAAGTGTGCAGGTTAAAGAGGTGACGTTGTCAATGTTTTTACAACCATTTTTCCAAGTCTCATCAGGAGAAGACAATAGTGAGTACAAAACCATTTGCCAAATGGAGATTGTGATCTGTTAACTGGAGGAAAATATTCTGCTTAATGTTATACTGCCTGGTTAATATCTTACCAACATTGGCACTACCTTCCATTTAGTTTAAAAAATGAGAATTACTCAGAAATATCATATATGCAGCATTGTAATGTTTGCCAATCTAACAACCCCTGATTAGTGATGCTCTTACGTTAACTGGAGACAAGCTTTCATTACCATTTCTGATTTATACAATACTGCCCTCTGGAAGGCCAATGGGAGAACTGCAGCTCACTATTAGTTGTCACTCACAGTAGGATTGCCACGCTTGCCAAGGTAAGCATATTATAAGTATCTTAGAAATAGGAATGCATGTGTCAGGTTTCCCCTTTAAATCACAGTGATGGACGGCCACATGACTCCAGTAGTTAGTGTGTTTAGAATTCTTATGCAGGCTTACAGATTGAGGAAGCTATGAAGACACATATACCATTAACACCCTGCAAAGTGACACTGCAACACAAGACAGTGTATGTGTGTGTTATACTGCATTATATCAAGGTGTATAACATTGTAGCATACTCATAATGACATCTGTACGTTACCAAGGGCCTGTAAGACAGCAGTAATGACAGCAGGACCACCGTGGATGTGGAACTCCACACAGTCCTCTCCTGTGAAACTGTGAGGAGCTGATGACATGAAGACAAGAGAGACAATGAGACTGTCAGAATATCCTTTAGTCTTTTAAATATGCACAGGATAGATATTCACAAGACTCTGTGATGAGATAAAAACGTCCCGATGCCAGTGAGAGAAAACTGTTTAAAAGACTGTAAACATGAGACATTTGATTTAACATTAAAATATAGCAACCAAGCTGGTTTGTCAGACAGAAGACCTCATATTGGTGAACTAAAGATTTCATTGGACCAGGAACTCACGCAGTGCTGTTTGCAGGAAGTAACATCACAGTTTTTCTCTTAATGTTTTAGTCCAGTGGTTCTCAAACTGTGAGGCGTTGAGCCATTGCACAGGTGGGAGGAGGGTTGTGGATTATCTTTATTTCACTTAAATTCAGCTTGTACTGTTTTGTATTAGTTGCTTCCCCTATTAATGCTGATGTTTACTAATGTTCACCATTGTGGGTTAGTGCAGCGTGAACTTTTTTTTAAACTACTGAAGGAAGAACCACTGTTTTACCCCATTTACTACAAATCAAACAAGCTTTATATTACTTTTATATTCAGTGGTATAAACTTGCAGATACTTGAAACTTCATTGAGACAAGTAATGTTTAACATTCATGTTTTCCCTTAACACACACATAACTGATGGAAAACAAATTCTAATATGAGACAAAATGTATTTTAAACACCATCTGCATTCATATTATCTTACATTGTCCTGTATAATATTGTCTTTTGTTTATAAAACCTTTGGTAGGAGAAGGAAAGTAGACTGTGAGGAAGAAATGAAAGCAATTAAATGTGTGTGTGTGTGTGTGTGTGTGTGTGTGTGTGGAAGGGTTATGGTTAACAGACCTGGGAACCAGAGCACAAGCCCACGGTCCAGCACCTCTTTTGATTGGGGATCTATGATGCTGCGTAAAAGGGCGGTGCGTGGAGGAGGAAGGCTGCGTGTGAGCCCGGCCATACACCGCAGAACTGTGGCTGAAGCTGGACCGCTGGCTCGTACCACAGCCACCCCACACCTGCCGTGGCCTGATGACAATGCAAAGATGGTCTCAGCATCAGCCAGTCCAACCGGGAGTCCATCGCAACTGGACAAGAATCTGCGAGGTGGATTTCCTCTGCTGGAGATAAATAAATAGTAAGACACACTTAAAAGGGAAACCTGTATACTCAAGAGCCCCAAAACTGATGTCAATGAATAATAATGTTAGTTAATAATAAAAATGGAGTGTAAAAAGAATTATAAAGCCTTATGTACGTATGTATTTAATCAAAGAGTAAAATGCTCCTTTCTGTCTTTGAATCAACTGATTAAAGGTATGAAGCTTTATATTGATTTTTACACTCAAATTTTATTATTCAACTATCAGTATAATTTATTGAGTTATACTTTTGACTCCACAGTTGCATGTACTGTAACAACAAACAGGAAAACATATTTGAAACGAACAAGCAGGATTCAGGAGGACTATGTTTGAATTAGTGACCATAAAAACAAACCAAAACAGATAATAAAGTTGAAATTTTGGTAACAAACCTTGTCCTAAGTGTGTGGACAGCAGCTCTCCATATCCCACGATAAACGGATGGCAGCATAATTATCATAACACACTTAACTTAATACCAAACGTTTCATGAACTTGCTGTTTCTCGTGTGGCTGATTTTAGAGACTGACATTGCAAAACACACTCTGTCCTTGACAAAATCATTATTTTTTACCTTATTCCACCGTAAATTAATGGTGTAGTAACCTGTAAACGTAACATTAGCTGGTAAACTGTTTATCATCCACAACAGTTTAGCTTCACTCGTCCTAATGTTTACATTTACCACGATGGGTCTGTTGCTCCCTCTGTTGATTGTGATTGGTCGGCGCTTTCTCAATAGTGGCGGGTTCTGCAGTGTCATTTGTTCAGGAGCCTGTCAATCTTCAGTTAGTCCCGCCCCCTGTGCGCCAATTAATGCAGTCCGTGTAGCTACCGTTGCTCCAAGGGTAAAATAAAGGTAGAGATTAGTAACGTAATAATAATAACAACTTAAAATATAGTAGAAAAAATTTGATCTATGCTAAAACACAAATGCTTTTTATTTAGTTTCTATTTACTTTATCTATATTTATATATATACATTTTTAAATCAAATCAAAATATAATTGAATACAGTCTGTTTCTTCCTTAACACAGTAGTAGATGTACTGAATTTATTGTCAAGTCATAAAAATAAAATAAAAAACAGGTAGGGAATTTTTGTTTTAGTTACTAGTATTTTAGGACAGAAAAAGACAGTTGTGCTTCTCCAAAAACATTTAAATACAGCGTGGTTTTTATTTGAAACACCAGACTGTTTTGTCTGATATGTTTTTGTTATTAAAGCTCATTTTCTATATACACTCATGGGTGTTTTTAACATTTTGCCTATCCCATACATATTAGTGGAGGTAGACAGAATATTAGAAAACATCTCTGAGTTAAACAAAAACTCAACAGCAGCACCGCAGTCTCTAAAATGACCACAGAGTTCAACCAACCCTCCTCTGAAACAGTTTCATGAAGGTATTGCAGGGCTGTTAAACTGGTATGTGTTAAATAATATATATTCAGTTTTACTGCAAATCAACTCTGTCATCATTATAATTTAGGATAAAGTTAAAGCACCACTCACTGTTTTGCTGAGTTTCTGTAGCATATACTAAAAAATGTTGGCTCTAGTTATTCATGGCCTACATACTTCATGCATATCAGAGTATAAACATAGAGTAAATGCTACATGTGCACTGGTGTGTATATGTGCCCCACTGCAGCTCCTTGCAGCTGTCATCCCAGAGGGTGGTGAGTAAGCAGAATTTCTGCTCAAAGACGAGGTACTTCTGAGCGATGAGCCATGCGAAGGGGGAGGGCTGCCTGCCTGCATGGCTGTACAGTGAAACACGGCATCCAGGAGGGTCGGCCAAGAAGAGAAATTGTGTACATGTCAAAGAGGCATGGCCTGAAGCCCGGGAGCAATCTTTAACCTGAGATCTCAATAATTTATTGGCTGCTCTGTGTGTACACAAAGCATGACAGCTGCCACCTCACAGCTGTTGAGCACCATCAATACACAAACATCTATGTCTCTTCTGACTAAAAAGACTGTTAATCAAACCATAGATCTGACTAAAGATGATGAAAATACCTCCACCCTGCATACACACACACATTAACATTCACACCTCTTAACTCCTCCACTAGTTGTACAACTGCACACTATGGTGATTTATGACATACACATATATTACAGTGTTTGTTTTGAAGGATGCGTTATGGTGTAGGCTTTTTTTTGGCATGGGTTGACTGTTGTTTGCTCATTTTAAAACACAGTTTGGTCTGTAAAGTAGGCCTTTATGCTCATAGTTTGTTGATGTGGATGATAGTGGAGGACCTGTCCAAGCAGCAGTTTGTGCAATAAAAGTTAATATTATACAGCTGCTGCATACAAAGTGTGTACTGTAGAGTGTCCGATAGACTAAAGTGAAGAGACATTACTTGTCCCTAGACCTGAGTGTCACTAAAAATTTAATCTATGAGGATATTTTTTGCATTAATAAATAAGTCATAGTCTATTTAATCTTCCAGGACAAGCTTGCATTCACACTCACAGAGAAGCAATAGTCTACCTGCTAGACTGCAAGAAGCACCTGCCTCAGAGACCCACTACTGAAAGGATTACTGTGTTTAAATTAAAGGTGGGTACATAAATATATGAAAGAGAGCAAGAATTAACTCGGTAACAAAATTTTATCAATGCAAGACATTTATTGTGTGTCTCTGGGTTTTGCCTTAAAGCGGATTCTATTTCTGGCACCAATGTGAAACCTGTCTGCTGCTGGCCGAGGTCACTGTCGGGCGATAAACATAAACATTTATCCTGGAGGACGGCGAGTGATATATCACCGTCCTTTTATTGTCTTCAAATATGTCTGTGAGGTTTTTTTTAAGTCTTAAAGTGGACTGTGCATGAAGTGAGTTTGCAACAAGAGCTTCCTATAACTTGACTTCACATTTTTGATCTCTGATGAAGGAATTTGCTGATTGCAATCTGGGACATAAAATCATCCGGCTGCTATATTGAATTGTTGTAAAGTGTGTGTGTGTGTGTGTGTGTGTGTCACCCAGCCCCCCTCCCCTCCTCCCTCCCTCTCTTTGTCCCTCCTCTATAGTCGTTGGAGGAGCGCTTTCCATCTAGCCGCGCATCCTGCTCCAGAGTACCACCGGGATGATCCGCCGCTGCACCGACACCGACAACCTTCACTTCACTTTCACACTCATTTAACCCTTCACTCGGACCCCCGCTGGCCGCCGCGCTACCCCCATGCTTTGCCCTCCTCCTGAGATGCGATACCATTGCACAATTTCCCGAAGAATATCTTCATCTTCCGTCGCTCCTCGCTGATAGAGAGCATGCCCGACACGGGGACAGGCGCCGCAGTCGCGGCGG